CTGCTTGTAGAACCTATGATATCAAGATAGGTTCTTTAAGGCCTATGTCCTCTGAGGAATCCAGTGTCTTTCTCTGATCTCAACTCTGAAGGAGACTTGTTACGCTTTCTAAGTTGGTGTGAACCTCAGGAAATGAGCAAGAAGTACAGATTTATCATAGGTGGATCATCGTTTATTATTGACTTAAGAGTGTTTCTTTCAGTTAAGATTTTCAACATGCTTCGGTAAGGGCCTGGATTTTGCCGCAAAAACTTCTGAATGAAGCGTGTCTTTTGTTTGCATACATAATTCTTTTACACTTCGGGTTCTATGACATCACCATTGAAAATCCAGGGCTAGGTGTCAGGTTCTTTGTATCTGTTACTTGTGAAAGCCATTTCTGCAAACTAATTGTGATCTTCATTGTATTGTACTTGAATATTTGTTACCACATCATATTTTGTGCCCTTTGTGATAGTTTCTAGTTACAGTTCAAACTTCTGATGCAATTATTTTTACTTTCTGTGATGCATACTGTGTTTGCAAAATGTTTATGGATTTTGGTTTTCTGATGTTATTTCTTTGTGTCCTATTGATTGGAGCCTGGGTTGCAAGGAAATAGAATCGAAAACGGGACATGACACAATATGAGGGAACATTATTTCTAGGGCATGAAACACTGAAAATACTATATAAAAATTTGAACAGTGCTACACTTACAGAAGAAATGATACAGATGTTTTACAGAATACACACAGCAAATGGACCTCATCCCAATAAAATATTCACATGGGGTCTACCCTCATGTGACTATCCTGTAGAAGATCTGTGAAATATTCCCTGTACACAGGGCATTTTCCTAAAAAAAAATTTAATTTATTTTTATCAATTAAATATTAAACTTCAAAAAACTATTTAATACAAATTAAATAACAAAAATGCCACTATCGATCTAATATAAATAAATTTTACATATAATTGTCGTCATCTGAAAACAATTATTCATAATAATTGTATCATATATAGAATCCAATGTTGCGGGTAAATGATTTTAATGGACAATCCCTTGATCTTTTTATTGTCTGATTTTGACTTAGGTTAAAATCAGCTTTTAATCCATACTAAACAAACTCTAAAAGTCTTAAAATTAAATTAATTTTAAGTCAGAGCCAATAATAATTTTTAAATTAAAGTCCATAATTAAAATGACAGGAAATTTTTTGAGTTCAAGAAATGTTACACGTAATCTCGCATTAGATTACTAATCAATGAATTGACAAGTAAAATGCATTTGAGATAGAACCAACGAAGAAAGAACTGCTACAAAAATAAAATTTTTGTACAGTCGAATCCAATGCCGACACATACACGACTTTGAGATAGCGTTACGCGGTGCGTACTCATTGAAAGCAATTATGGTTTCCTTTTCATTAACCTGTCTATCTCAAACCAGACAACTTTTGGAATTAACGATGTTAATGATGTCCGTTGGCGTCGACGAAAAAAATGTATTTATAATTTAATGGAACAAACAAGGGCAAATCCGTACTTTGAACCACATCATTGAATTGAATTACCAGTCAGACCTCTCCGACGATATTTTCCATTAGAATCGGCGTGTTTTACGCGTTGGGCAAATTATGTTCCTCTCCCTTTTCCTTTTACTTTCTATCAAAAAGTTCCCATTCTTGTGCAAATTGCACGCATCTACTCTTCCTCCTTATATAATATTCGTAAATATAAACTATAACTTCGACATGTCTCGGATCTCTCATAACCATCTTGAATCGTTCAATTTTACATTCCCTTTTTGCGTTTCCATCTCCTATTCATCCCTTCAACAGGTTTTCCCCCCTCTCTAAGTATATTTTTTTGGTGATTTTATGTGATCGGGTGATGTTGGATGGTTTTCACTTGATCTGTTATTAGTATTTTTATAATTTTTTAGAATTTATTTTGAGTGCGATTCTTGGAATTCAATGTTGCCTAGTTTGTATTTGGTTTATGTTCATCATTTGAGTTGAATTACGTTGGTTTATACGCAGTATCTTGAAGTCCGGAAGAAAAATTGAAAGAAGAATGAGAAAGGGAATATTGTAGAGCTCTCTGTATGATCATTGCGAAATTAAGCGTTTATTTTTGGCTATCTGCAACTGGTGGAAATTGTTATGGGTTCCTGAATTGCCCCATTTTAAAATGTGTCATATCTTTTCTTGAATTTTTGTACTGAAATATATTGTCATTTTATTGAGTTGATGTAATCAATGCCATCAATCTACTGAAGGAGAAAAATAAAAATTAAAAAAATGCATTGTTTATTTTAGGGTAATCTGTCGTTCTTATGTTATGTATATATAAATATCCTTACTTCTGGTCCAAAAACTCTTCATTGTGAGCATGCCTGTGTTTAATCGTGATCGACTATCTCTGTTTTGATGGTATCTGAATGTAGGTCATTTGTCTAATAGTTAGGACTCAAATATTCAAATTAGTAGTCACTACTGAGAATCGTGAGTCAATATAAAATCAGAGCCCACTACCAATCAGTCATACTTCTGTTATTCTGAGTGCTTTTATATGATTTGTGTGACTTATTTATGTTGTGTACTACATCAAATTGATACCAACCGTTGTTGTTTGGAGCATGTTATGAGAAATAATATCTGCTGCGGCTTCATTCATATTTTGCAGGGCTTGAGTTCTTGAGTTATTGTTTTTATTTGTTGGTAACTTATCATTATTCTAATATTATATTCCTGCCATTTTACTGCTGTGTTGTAGACTTCTTTTAATTTCTTTTGGTACCTTATACATTGATGTTTCTCTACCATCAGGTTTCTTCTACAGAGTTTGCTTCTCTCTGGATGTTATGAAGGTTTTAATCAAGAGTTGAAAGCATTGTGTAGATTCCATTCATGATGATTGACTTTAGTATCCCACTTGTGAGATTTCTAGCTAGTTCGAACTTTGATGCTGGCTATACTTTTGGATGGCTGCTTATGGGGTCCTTAGGAATTTTTATTGTTACGTATGCATACTTCATATGGCAGAGAAAGACATCACTTAAATGGGTTAAAGCTGCTGCTCGAGCGAAGAAACAAGCATGGAAGAAGCTTAAAGTTCCCTTATCACGTCATACATGGATTGAAGATGTTGCTACTGGTGGGCAGCCATCCACCTGCTGTGTTTGCCTAACTTCCCTGGTGTCTCCACAAACTTTAGGAAAAAAAACGACATCACATTCTCCACTACACCGTTGTTCTGTTTGTGGCGTTGCAGCTCACTTTTGGTGTTCGCAGTTTGCAGCAAAAGATTGCAAATGCGTAGCACAAGCTGGTTATAGCCATGTCCAGCACCATTGGTCTGAAAGATGGAATAACCTGGATGACAATCCTGAGATGTCGACATTTTGTTTTTACTGTGACGAACCTTGTGGAGTTCCTTTTATTGATGTATCTCCAACATGGCATTGCTTATGGTGTCAGCGCCTCATACATGTTAAGTGCCATGCCAAAATGTCTGAAGAATCCGGTGATGTTTGTGATTTGGGTCCTCTTAGAAGAGTCATTCTTTCTCCCCTCTGTGTGAAAGATCTTGAAAGTGAGAAATTTTCTGTTACGGATGAAATCATTACATCTTTAGACCATGGGCAGATTAGGAGAAAGCGCCAACGGAACAGACATGGAAGTAACCGATATATCAGTGGCAAGGTACAAGGAAGTTCTGCTAACAAAAGAGCACTGCAATATGTGTTAAATGGTCTTGTTGGTCTTGGTCTCTTGAAGTCCAGTAACGAGAAAAACAACGATAACTTTTTGAAGGCTAGCAACCTAATTGGTCAGAAAGGCGGTCTGAATGGGCTGAAGCATAAGAAAGATGAAACTGCTGTTTGTGGAAAATCTATGAAGTATACTCTAGTAGATTTGTCTTCTGATGCAAGACCTCTCCTGGTCTTCATAAATGCCAAGAGTGGAGCTCAAAATGGACGTATCCTTCGAAGAAGATTGAACATGATATTGAATCCTGTACAGGTGAAATTTTGAACATTTTCTAGAGACTAGCTTCTGATTGCTTTTATATCCATGTCATTTTCTCTTCAGAATACAGAAGAACTGTAACTTATTAGGGAAAATATAGTTTAACAATTTTCCATAGTGTAAGAAAACCTTGCTTGTCTTTATGCTGAATCGTGATGACTTGAACATGCATGTGTGACTTGTCGGACTTGGAACTTGGTTTTTACTCCACATTATATTCTGTTCACTTTCAAGGGGAAGTTGCGTCCTTTACTTAAGTTTACACTATACAGGCGTGTTTTTGCTTATTTCAGTGACTTGTGTTGCAGATATTTGAACTTGATTCCTATCAAGGACCTGAGGCTGGTTTAGAGCTGTTTGCTAATGTGCAATACTTTAGAGTTTTGGTATGTGGAGGTGACGGGACTGTGGCCTGGGTTCTTGATGCAGTTGAGAGGCATAATTTTGAATCACCTCCACCTGTTTCCGTTCTTCCTTTAGGAACTGGAAATGATTTGTCAAGGTTTCTTCACTGGGGAGGGGGCTTCTCGACTGTTAAAGGACAAGGTGGTTTAAGCACTTTTTTGCATGACATAGACCATGCAGCAGTTACAATGCTTGATCGCTGGAAGGTAAACATAACTGAAGAAAAGTCTGGCAGTGAACCTAGTCAAGTGCAATCAAAGTTCATGATGAATTACTTAGGTAATTGCCATGTTTATTTTCCATGGGCTTCTTCCTCGTCAAGTTACAAGAATGAACTCCTGTCAATAATTTCCTAAATTTTCCATCACTTCCCTGAGAAACCAAAATAGCTTTGCTCATTTTCCAGGAGAATAATTTTATAAATCGTTCCTTGTAATCAGTTAATTCATGTTAGTTGTTGTTGGACTCCAATAATCTTGAGCTGCTTTATTATAGGTATTGGATGCGATGCAAAGGTTGCATATGAATTCCACACAAGTAGGGAAGAAAATCCTGGAAAGTTTTACAGTCAGGTACTAATTTCCTACCTCGGTTATCCTTTTTCTTTTGAATATTACATATATGCAATTGCCTTGTGCTAGAAACTCTTTCCTTCTATATGCTGCATGGTCCTCACATATAGCTAATTTAAGTCTTGGAACAGTTTGTGAATAAATTGAGATATGCAAGAGAAGGTGCCAGGGACATCATGGACAGAGCTTGTGCTGACTTACCATGGCAAGTTTGGCTTGAAGTAGATGGGAAAGATATCCAAATTCCAAAGGTATATGAGTTGTCTAACCAGGACCATCTAGGAATTTATTCCTTCTTTTATTTTTAAAATTTTTTCTTCATGTTCTCTTTTTTCTAATGCTTCATTTAGGGCACTGAGGGCTTGATTGTGCTAAATATTGGTAGCTATATGGGTGGAGTTGACCTTTGGCAAAACGATTATGAGCATGATGATAATTTCAATCATCAGTACATACATGACAAAATGCTGGAAGTTGTATGTGTTTCGGGGTCATGGCATCTTGGCAAACTTCAGGTCAGAATCATCTTTTATCTGTTTCTAGGCTTACTTCTAATTACGGGGTTATTGAGTGTTGTGGGAAAAAATAAAAAATAAAAATAAAAATAATCACCCAAATGCTCACTGAATGCAGTGAAAAATGAAACATAAAATGAGCAAAAGAGAGAACTCAAATTAAAGGTGGTTCAACAAACCACCGACGATTACGAGAAAAGGAGATTAACTCAAAAGACCTCAAAATGCATAAATTTCCCAACTCTTTCAACTTCCCCCTACACAAAGCCAGAATGCTTGACTCAAAAATACGCACGAGTTTACTTTTAACTCTCTTTCTCTCCCTAGCTTTTTCTCTTCTTGCTAGCCTTTTTTTCTCTTTCTTTGGATCCCTTTACTCTCTGCCTTGAGACTATTCTCTTCTCTTCTTCTGTGCCGTTTGTTTATGATTCTGTGGAAAAAGATTTTGCCGAGTTTTGTCCCCTTTTTCTAGGATATACGAATGAATATATAATATATGCAAACTTCGGATTGCATAAAATGTATAGAAATGAATAGAAATTGATGTTTTCAAGTGTGTTAATTATGTTCACTCTTATGGTATAATTCTGTGCAGCTTTTTGAAGTTTGTGAGAAGCTCTACTTAACTACTTTTTCTGTTCTGTAGGTAGGACTTTCACAAGCCAGGAGGCTGGCCCAAGGGGGAATCGTGAAGATACATGTTTCCAGTCCTTTTCCTGTCCAAATTGATGGGGAGCCTTTTATTCAGCAACCGGGATGTTTAGAAATAACACATCATGGACAGGTATCTGATTGATGATTGCTGATACAGTAATTGATGTTGATGTAGTTTATGATTTCCCTACCTGTGTAGACTTAAGATATACCATCTGGAGAATATGAGATGTTAAATTTCTCAAATTAGACTTCAAATTATTATAGAACGAGTATGAGAAACTAACATTAGAAAGTGAGCAATATATAGATGCATATCCATCATATTTGCTGGGTTCATTGTGTTGACCTTTTCAAGATTGACATCAATCACTGTCAGATATCGAGTGTCTCAGTTTTAAATTTTCTTAGTGAAAAAATGTGTTGCCATTAGTTATAAACAATATCTGCAATATGGTCAATGTCCATGACATTGATCTCTGTCTTGATCAAGGACTGCCAGGAAGAAAAATTATAATGAATAATTTCCATGTGCGCGCACGCACAATATGGAAATCTGAAATTGCTTTTGGGTTAGTTGCTGTTAAAAATGATTTTCTACTTGTCCCATTACCTGTGAAATTTTGATCTTCAGCATGTATGACAACCTATTTAAGTTCTGTTCGGACAAAATGTTTTGCACTTTGCTATGTTATAGTCACGAGCTAAAGAAAACAATGCTTTAAAGATATAATGCTGATCTTTGTCGATACTTATTTTAGTATAACTTAAATGTGTCAAGACACTTTGTCCATGATGGTGTTGACTTGTTTGTGTCATTGTATTCCATTTTTTCTCTCTGGATTGTGGGCTTACAGGACTGAAATCTGCTCCCTCCTTATTAGGTGTTTATGTTGCGGAGAGCATCAGAAATGGATGGACCGAGAGGTCATGCAGCTGCCATAATGACTGAGGTTTTGGCTGATGCCGAGTGTAAAAGTGTTATCAATGCTTCCCAAAAGAAGTTACTTCTTCAGCAGATTGCCCTCCAGCTTTCTTGACTTTCTGAACTATTGATTCCTAACATTTTTGACATTGACTTGGCAGAGATTTTGCTAACTACTCATAGTTAACAAAAATAACTTATCAGGCAAGGGAAGGGTGATATAGTAAATTATGAAATCAGATACTATGGAGAGAGGTTTTATAAAGATGAGACTGGACTTTGTTTTGGGATTGAATCCCTTTCACCAGTCACTCGGTATATGTTTGATGTGCAGTTGTAGATAGGATTTGAATGGTACAATGAAAAAGGAAAAAAAAATTAGTTTCTGTTTCTTCTTGAATTACTGAAAAATCTTAGAGTCAATCCTATTAAACAATTTGATTTTTTATTTTTATTTTTATTTTTATTTTCAATCTTATTTATTAACATCACCTATTGGAGGGATTTTTCCCTCAATCATCTGAAGTTTCATAATATCAGCCTTTTATTTGCGCTAGTTCTGTCATCCTCATTGCGCCCTGCACAACCTTCCCTTGTTGGATTGAGTGAGAGCGTGGAGAATGGAAGAACTTTAAGTTGAAATTAAAGGTGGGGAAAAAATTATAACAAAGAAATATAAATTATGTTACATAAGGTATTTGTGATGATAGGCCCATGTATCGGCTTGGCCTCATCCCGAACCAAGGAGGCATTCTAGTGGATGCATGTGCGTGGGAAGGCCGATGATTACAGAAGTTAAACGACTACAAGACAAGCATGAAGTGATTGGCTCCTATTCTGGTTGGAATTGAATATAGATGAAGAATCTATAGATCGTAATAGTTAACAGATCTCTAGCTAACATATTATATAATTTCACTTCTTGGCACGGCCAAACTACATTGACAAATGCCATTTCTCTCTTTTTTGATGTCTACAACAAACAAGTGGGAGATGCAGGATCTGATCCTACGTATAAAAACTTCAACAGATTTAACACTATAATTGCGACCATATAAAGAAAAATAATAATTTAGTGGGTGTATTCAATTGAAACTTTTAAAGACTCTTTAAAACTAAGAAAATTTCGATGTATTCAATTGAGGCTTTCTAAAAGTTTGAGTGTATTCAATAGAGACTTTTATAAATTTTTAAAATGTCTCTACAAGTCACGGAGTCACGAGGTATTTAATTGAAATTTTTTAGAAATCTCTACAAATTTTGGAGTATTTAATTGAAAACGACTTTCAGAAAATTTTTAATTTATGGGACTTGGAGAGGCTTTTTGGTAAAAGGTATAAATAGCAATTCTCAAAAAATAAAAATAAAAAAAAAATCTCATGCCCATCTCTTCCAATCAGGCAATAATTTTCTTTGGGCTCTATGTTTTTCAACAGGTGCATCTCTATCTCACCCTCTATGATATTTATGTTGGATAAACCCATCTCCAAAATTGCTATGCTGAAGAAGGCGATTCTGGAGAGTTTAGGGTTCAGTATTGATTATTATGTTTGATTTCTCTAATGACCTAAACAACTCTAAAAACTAGTGTTAGTTTATCAGAAAACTAGTTTAGGTCCTATAATTAATTATTTTCAATTTCTCGTCACTGTATTAAGCCCAACTCCATCCCTTATCAATAAGAAATCTAGAGAGAGAAATAAAAGAGAAATTTTAGATTGAAACCACTAGAAAGTGTGTTTATACACAGATTACACGAGGGGTGGTCACATGTATCGCCTAAAACGTATGGGTCTGGTTTTGTGAATTACTAGGCTGGAATGTGTTGAATCCACCCCAGTGAAGTCTGTCGGAATAATTTGTCCAGGTTTTGTGAATTACTTCTTAAAATTTTATTAATTCTGGTGGCTTCAAAGACAATGCAAAAGGAGGAATACTATTTAGCCAAAAATAAGTATGTTTAGTTTTTTCTTGGGTTTGTTGTTTAACAACTTTTTTCTTTCTTTCTTCTTCTTCTTCTGAGAACAAAATCTCACCCTTTTTTTGTTGTTAGTTCCAAGTTCTAACTCTTCAAATTGTAAAATGGAGGGTGGTGGTACAACTAGCGAAGCGCAACCCGCTTCTTTCCGATGCGTACAATGTGTGATCCCAATTAAAACTCTCTACATACAGTACTCTCCCGGAAACATTCGTCTCATGAAATGCGTAATCAATTATTTCCTTATAGTTTCCATTACTTGTGATCAATTTGTTCGCTATTAATTACTCAATGATTCTTCTTGTATTCTTAATTTTGTTTTAGGGAAATTGCAAAGCTGTTGCTGATGAGTACATCGAATGTGAAATCATGGTAATCCTGGAAACTTGCTGGAGAACAAAATTTCTATTTTTTATTTACTTTAATTAATACTATGTTTTAACTTTCTGTTATTTTATTTTGTAGATTCTTATAATTGATTTAATTCTTCACAAGCCCAAAGCGTACAGACATTTATTCTACAATATGTTCAGTAAAGAGACTCTCAATCTTGAGGTATATTTCTTTTTTCTTTTTTACGGTTGCTTGAAGTTAATTGTTCAGACAGATATGATATATCAAGTGAGTTGTACATATATAGCTTATAATGGTTATTGCACGCAGGGCTTGTTATGGAAATTAATTTTGGGCTTCCTGATTTTGGATGCTTGTATCCATTCATTAATCGCTGTATATATTTTTTTTATAAGTCATTAATCACTAAATATTACTTCTTTATAATCTTCTCTGACTCTGACTCTGACTCTCACTCCACACACACACACACACTCTCTCTCTCTCTCTCTCTCTCTCTCTCTCTCTCTCGCACGTCCACACGATCCCTGTTTACTGTTCTATGGTTTAATATATACTTGCTTGTGATGCATATGGATACCCTAAGCTGTTTTAGATGGAATTTTGGTTTTGAGCACATATGACAAGGAATCGAGTGCCAATGTCACTTCGTTATTGTGGGGTTTCAGAAAGGTTTGTACCTCATTAGTTGGAGTTTTAATTTTTTTTCCTTTCATCTTTTAAATAATGGGTATGATTTTAAAATTTCACCCAGTTTTGATGGAATTGGTGTGCTATTGCTATTTGTAGATGTTTGCAGGTGTTCTCTTTGGGAACCTCGCGTTTCTTTGTGTTATGTTTCTCGGAACAAGAAAGTTTTTGAATTCACCAAAGGGATTATACGGGTAAACATTTCTTGGCTGTACCTAAGTGCTGGAATATGTACCAAACAAATGGTATTTTCTGTCTTTTGTCTTTCCTCCCCATTATCCTTAAGAAAGAAACAGATAGTGCAAGATATGAATCAATAGTGGTTTGCCAAATTTATTGTTCCAAGTTGTTAGTTAAACTCAATTTGTAACAGTCTAACGGATAAGTTATTTGCTTGTGGTTTAGGGTTCTATGGTACTTTGAATATGCTTTAGATGTAGGATTTCACATGAGAGGTACAAGAGCTCTCTATTGCAATCTGTTTTCATGCGAAAATACTGAATCTTTTGTGGTGCATATTTTACTAGAAAAAATTGTATATTTAGCCCCTGTTTGATTGCCTTTATAAAAAGAAATTGGGAAAAAAAATGATGTTTTGAATAGTGATTTTTTTGGAGAATGTGTGGTTATAATTAGGGAAAAAATTTTGAATTTACGTGCAAAATATTTTATTGTGTGAATGTGTAGTTGAAAATGAGTATATAAAATAATAAGTTGAAATAAGTGGTATCAATCTTTGAATATGCTTTAGATGTAGGATTTCACATGAGAGGTACAAGAGCTCTCTATTACAATCTGTTTTCATGCGAAAATACTGAATCTTTTGTGGTGCATATTTTACTAGAAAAAATTGTATATTTAGCCCCAGTTTGATTGCCTTTATAAAAAGAAATTGGGAAAAAAAATGATGTTTTGAATAGTGATTTTTTTGGAGAATGTGTGGTTATAATTAGGGAAAAAATTTTTAATTTACGTGCAAAATATTTTATTGTGTGAATGTGTAGTTGAAAATGAGTATATAAAATAATAAGTTGAAATAAGTGGTATCAAACAAGGGCTTAGTGCATGCAACGTGATGTCTACATATTTATTGCAGTTCATTAATATGGCGATATATTGTTTGACTTGTGTCGCCATATATCAATTATATGTTAATTGTGCACTCTTGTTATCACTTTAATTCTAGTATCTAGCTCAACTCAACTTTTGACACCCATATTGAGATATCTATATGAATTGTATAAGAGATCATGGTTAAATTTTGTGAAATAGTCATTTCAATGCTCTTGTGCTCTATGATCACCATGTAGTGGTTAAAGAACAATTGCTAACTAACCACAGACTTGATGATGAACACATTAGTAGAAAGTAGTTAAGTGAATTAGGATGAGAATTTTGTATTTCAGAAGTAACAAAGCAAGGGTGACATCATAATGCATTAATCATTTTCTGGAAGATGTGATGACCGAAAGCACCTGACCAAATGTATGGCTTTGACAAAAAATAGTATCTCAAAGTAGTTTGTTTATCAAACATTTACAAGATTTTGAGGTCTCATTGAGTTTCCGATTTTTCTGACTTTCTAATTAGCCTATTCTTCTTTTTCAAGAAAAAAAGACAGTGAAAATTGATTTGATTTTCCTCTTAACTTCACAGGTATAAAGATATATTGCTGGGGGTCCTTGTTTCAAGTTACTTTAAGATTTTTCTTGTGGCTACAATGGTATGTTTCTTTTTGATACTTGGTTATTGAAAAATTCTTATAGCCCCCATTTGTTTCCCATTATTTGCCTATTAAAATGAAAAATATGATCGTTATCCATTACATCGAGCCAACATTTTTGACTTTCTATCTTTTGTGTGGGCTCCGTAACGGCTATATTTTTCATTCTCATTTTTACATTAATGTGTACCAAACGGAGCCATAGTAACAAAGCAGTACGTCTGACAACCTTTACCCTATGATTGTACTTCCTCTTCTGCTTTGAGCTCCATAACTCATGTGACAAGTACTATCTTGATGGTTACATTTTATGTATTGTTTATCTTATGAACTATTTTAATATGGAGTTTGCATTTCGTAGGTATGGGAATTTCCTTCCTCCGTGATTTTCATCATTGATCTGTTTGTCATATCATCCAATACTGTGGCTTTAGAAGGTGAGAAATATGGAATTTTGTATGTTGTAATCCATGTATTATGTTAGCACTAGACTTCTCCCACTGGGATACTTAGTATTATAGGCTTCTCTCTTATTGGGGGTCGGGTAGGGGATCCATTCACATCAATCAAGGGGTTTTGGGCCATCTCACTTGAGTATGAATAGAGGGTTTGGGTATTTACGTAGGTCACAATCGAACAAGAACAAATTGAGGAAGAAAGAGGAAGAGAGGAGAAAGAAAAGAAGAGGGCAATTTATTTCTCATCAAACTTGTGTCTTATTACAAAGCATAAGCCACTTTCTATAGTGTTTAAACTAATTTAATTTAGGTAAGAAACATCTAACAGAATACTAGAGAATCTATTAAATTTAGGTAAGAAACAACTATAAATATAATAGAGAATGTAAAACCCACCCTTATTACATAGCTAATTAGGAAACTCTTCCATATAATATATATCTTCTAGGATTCCCATCAGCATTACCCCCTACCCTATTACATTAATTATGTCATACCCAATATTAAGTGCATAAATCTGAAAATTAAAATGATTATTTAATCCAGCATGGTCGATAACATAATGGTAGCACTTAAAATAATTAGCCTGACTTGAAATCGCTCCAATTTTTTGTCACATCAACACTTTATACACATTGTCACAAGTAAAACAAGAACAGCAATGCATAAATTTATTATTTTTTACCATCATTCACTGCATTTTTAAGAAAAACACGATGTATATTAAATGATTTTCACCTTCGATAGTAATCATTTTGGATAGGCTAGACAGATCAATTTTTCCTATTCTTCCACACAGAAAATTGAGCTCTAGAATTGTTTAGTAGTTACTGCTGGACTGTCTTCGTAATTTACAAAGTAAGAATGCAGTTTGTGGAATGTAATACTAGAGGTGCTCTAAATCTGTAGGGTATAACTATTGAAATCATATGGGACATTTTGTGCAATCCAAAGGGTGTGAAGGTATGGAAATTGTTTATCAAGAAAATAAAAAAGGCAAGGGATGTGCTAGTCATTAGATTCAGGTTATAGAGAGTGCTTGTTCTTACTTACTGCTTGGGAACGTGAAATTGTAGTGCAGATTGATATACTATTTATCTCTGCTTTACCAGTCATTTAAGAAATGGCTGATGCCTGTGAGATTCAAAATTTGGACATAACGTTCCTTTATTCTCTTTTTTCTCGGTAGATGGTGCTACAATCATTATGTATGATCAAAAACATGGATGACATATGAGTAGTAGTGAAGTGCACTGAAAATAGAGAGTTCTCATGTGTAATATGTTTCTTGCCTTGAGTTCTGTTAGCCATGGGAATCTTACACCTTATGAATAATTGTAGCTTACTGATCTATCTTTCTGGAGTTTTTATTATGTAAAATGAAATAGTTTCATTGAGTTTAAAACGTTTAGACATGCAAAGTAGCCATATATGCTGAATTGGCACTTTGACTTAGGTTGTTATATTAGATGTCCTCATGATGTAGATTTATCAAATATCTGTATTTAGTAACTCTATTCCTGCTACCAAGTACCATCACATCTGCTGACTGACACACTTTATGAACCAGTGATCACCTACTCAGCGATGATAAGATGCTTGGCAGTCTGCATTATGGCACATTCTGTCAAGTTCTTGGTCAGCCAGGGGCTCAGTAATTACCCTCTAAAGCTAGTTATATAATTGGCATCTTTGAACTTTTCATGCGAAATGTGTCATTGGCTTGAGAGCTATGACTCTGATATGAGATAATACGGGCTTTCTTATCTTTGGAACAAGAATAATTGATTTCATGGTTATCGAGTTAATGATGCATTGCTATCCTGGCACTACTGGTTTATAGAGCTTTGTTCAGACAACGATCAAATGATGTTATGCTGTCCTAGTGTTATTCACGTTGAGGACTCTGAAGGAAAATGTTGCTTGCGTATTGCTTCCGTTTGGGGTTCAATAATGTGATGAGCTTGTAGAAAATCGTTCCCTGTTAAAATCGTAATCCCTGTCGTGCAAGTAAGGGACAGAAGACTGCAGTTTTATTCCCCAGTGACGCCATTAAAATGGGTCAGGAATGCTGTCATTTATTTATTTTTTTGTGAATGAATTCTAGTTTGTTTCCTTCACGTCGAAATTTGACTAGGGAAATATTTACATATACATAGTTTTGATTATGATTTGTTTATTTCCTGTTACTGGAAAAACAAAGAACTATGCTGATTAATGGAAAAAGACAGATGATAGCCTAGTGTGTGGTTTTCAGTGGGAGAAGTGAAGTATCCTCTTTCCAACCTCAAACTCTCCCATCCTGAAAGTATTCATATGCTTAGTTTGTACGAATAGTTTCTTCTTTAAAAAAAAAAAAAAAAAAAGTAGAAGGTTGAACCCCATCCTTGAGGGCTCTCACCGTCCTGTCCCTAAAATTTTGTGAGGGAGATAAATAGAGATATGTGTCCTAAGAGGTCAGAGAATAAGATCTGTCTGTACACTACGACTATAAGAATAGTTTCTTCTTTACTCTTATGGATTGTGAAGAAGGGCCAACTGAAAATATCTTCAAATTTGTTATATTGAATTAATTTAATCGTAAATGATATTTCCACTGCTCGATTGTTCTAATAATAAAATTTTCTTTTGGAAATTTGGTTACACTTCGTAAAAAAAATAAAAAATAAAATGAAATGAAATTAAAGAGAGAAATTACAATGAACTTCTCATATGGTGGTGACATTTGGCATCCATATTTTCAAAGATTTATTTTCAGTTACACATTTCATTGATATATAACTTTTTAATCTCACATTTTATCAACTTTTATTTAAATTTACTAAATATATACACCTGAGGGGCATTTTCATGTATGAATTTTCATAATTGAGTGAGTAAATATTATTGGATATTTGTCTGTTTTTATATCATATTAATAATCTAAAAGTTTAAATTTTTTAGAGATGGTGAATTTATTCATACACCCATATACTTTATACTCATAAAATTGCAATTAAATCTAACCTTTAGTATCTTCTGATAGACATTTGATGATAATTAGATGACTAGCACATAGAGATATCAATTTGGCTCGAGGCGACCTGTGGCTTGGTTCGGACTGAGCCTTATTTTTGGACATTGGCCCGAGCCCGAGCTGGCCCATGTGGTTCGGCAAGTAATTTTATTATTTATTAATTATATAATTATGGGTAAAATTAAGAATATGAATTTTTAAAGGGAAAATTGTAGTTGAGGTACCAAACTTTTCTGTCATTCTAGACATTATAAATTTCCCCTATTAAATTAAAAATTAGAAAAGCAAAAAGCAAAACCACAACCACCCACCCCCATCTCCTTCTTCCCCAAACCAAAACCACTCCACCCAACCTTAACCTCAGTTTCCATCTGAATAGGCTTTTCTCCTTACTCTGGGGTGCCATTTTCAGTCCCAGCATCAATTTTGGCATCTTTCATATTTTCATCAATTTCATTAGTAATTGAAGGAACAGAATCAGTAGAAGTCTCATCTGTTTCCATCTTCGCTGGTTCCTTTGCTGACTCCTTCACAACTGGAACTTGCACTTCCTCCTCTTCCAACATCTTATGTACATAAAAAGTGTATTAATTCACCAAATAAATAAATAAATAAAATAAAATAAAAGAACTAGCATCATAAACAAATGAAGAAGCTTTTTTCCAGAGAACTTACAGTAACTGACTCAACAGAGGCAATCCCATGGAGATTTAAACGTACTTTGACCTTCAACTTCGGTGCCATTTGGGCTGGCAATTTGTAACAGATTGAATTTTGCGGTGTGAATGGCTGCCGGCCATGAATGTGGTGGTTGGGTGGAGTGGTTTTGGTTTGGGGAAGAAGGAGATGGGGTTGGGTGGAGTGGTTTTGGTTTGGGGAAGAAGGAGATGGGGGTGGGTGGTTGTGGTTGTGGTTTTGCTTTTTGCTTTTCTAATTTTTAATTTAATAAGGGAAATGTATAATGTCCAGAATGACCTTACCTTATTTTGGGAAAATAATTAAATTTTTAATTTCTGGGGTCAACTGACTGTATTTGTGGTCAAACAGACGGAAACCGTCAATTTCGACTTGAGCTACATATTTTTTAAATGTTTGGTACTCACGGTGGCACAAATGAAAGGTTTGGGCAAAGTCTGCTAATAAACGAAAAGTTTGGTACTTCGGCTGCAATTTTCCCATTTTTAAATTAGTCTAGTACAGATTATTTCTGTCCCATTATGCAAAAGGTCTAACAAGAAGAACACCTTGTTCTTTGGTCTTGTCATTGAGCATAATTGTGAATTTTAGTTCAGTTTTTTAATTAATTAGCCTACTAGTGAGTAAATAATTATTAAATTAGCAAAGTACCAACACTAAATTTGTCCCATTATTCAAACACAGGCAGCTGCAATGCTTGTATAATTTTTTTAACATTGTTAAAAAAAAATTTCGAATTTCAGAACTTTGAAAAAAAATTGAGCTGGCTTTGTAAGGCTCAATCCGAAAGCTCGAGTAGAGCCTTGCTTTTTCTGTCAAGCTTTGGCTCGGCTTTAGCCAAAAAAGACCGAGACATTTTTTATTCGATCCTTGAACTTCAGCTCACGAGCCAGCTCGACTTGACTCATTTACATTCAATACATAAATCTTCATTTCCTTTCTCTTCTGTTAATTTTTCATTATTCCTTCAAATATCGCATGATATTTCACCAAAGGGGCGGAGATAGCCTGGGCTGTTCAAGCCCATTTATTATTTTGTAATAAAAATTGAAAAATTTATCAACTTTTTCCCTATATTTTATTAACACAGCCAAAAAAAAAAAAAAAAAAGAATAAAAATTGTCGTCCCCGGCTCCGCCAACGTCTATCGCATTATTCATTGTATTTAATTAGAAAGACATGAAGAATCAAGTATATATCCATTCAAAACACAAACAACAATTACGTATCGAAGAAAGATCCAATATTTTTTTGATATTTGTATCCCTTTTTGTTGGCCAAACTTATAGAAGCTAATAAATTTTCCACTTCCTTGGTAATGTATAATGACTGTACTCAATGTTCAATCATGTCTTGTAATATAGCTCACAACTTGTCACACTCTGTTGGAATGAATGACATTGTTTCCTTCTTTAGATCATGAAGCACTAACATATTCTGCTGCTGAGTGTTACCAAAAATGGACATTCCGCTTGAACTTCCCATTGCCAAACATGCAATTCCCACATCAGAATCAGCAATCATGTAATTATCCCCTGGCAATTCCAAGTCCGCCCCAGTAAAATGGAAAACTAGTTTTGGAACCTCAAGATCAGTTGCACCAGATGGCAAACTGAAGCAAAGATCGAGGCCGGTCTCGCCGGATTTGTCGACCGGGAGTTTCATCTGAGAAGTGAATTCTTTTTTCAGCTGATCAAAAGCACTTTCTTCTAAATAAGTAATTGTGGTGCCAGAGTCTATGATCATCCCACCACTCCCATCTGAATTGAGTGCAAAAGTGGACTTTTTGATAGGTAATAGGGTATCACCAACTGTAATCCCTTCAAGGGAAAGATAGTAAAAAGAAGGCTGTGATGGATTCTTGATTAAAGGGGTGGTTTTGATTGAATTTTTCGTGGCATTTACTCCAGCAAGTGACCCCATAAAAAGTGTACTAGTCTTTTTAGCATCAATTGAGGTTAGGCAGTACGAGAATTTGGGTTCATCAAGTTGTGAAACAAGGGACAATGGTCCACGCCCTAATCCCACCAACCCTGCCCCTTGACCGAACCCGCTCCCCTCATTTTCTAGACCACATCCAAATGCAACTTTAGGCATCGAAACTTTGTCGAACGTGAACGTTTCGGTAGCCATAACACCTTGAGTCGACGAGTAATCTCCATACGTGTATAGATACTCGCAGCCATCACTACAAGTTGACGAAGGAAGCGCATCGCAAAGAGCGCTCGAACACGACAACTTTGAAAAAGACGACGATTTCTTGGGATCAAATATCGGTGTAGATTGATCGAAGCACTGCTTACAAGGCTTACATTGAGTCCATATTAGATCACTTCCAGTGTCCATAATAGCATTATAAGACTTTGAGGGAGTACCTATTGCCAATTGAATAAGAAACTCACCATTTCCTGCATGAATTGGGGATTCAACAGTAGAATCTGATTCTGCTAAGGCCATTAAGTTTAGCCTTTCCATCCTCTTTCTCCCACGTTTCATCGCGCGCTGTAAAAGCTCGAATCTGGTGAAGTTTCCAGCCGAATCGATGTGTTCAAGGCTAATTTGGAAGCCCTTTTGAACTTTGGAGTGATCTAGTGCATGTCTGGAAGTGGAATAAGCTGGTGAAACAAATAAAAATGCAATAAAAAGAACCAAAAACATAGTTGAAGGCAACATACGACATCTTACAGAAGACATTGGGATCAAGAATATCGGATAGTACAAGGATTTTACTGTGTTGTTAAATAGTATATATAAAATTTAGAGGAAGAAAAGGTCTTGTGGTGAACAATGGAATGCATCAAATTTTCAGAAAATGAGTGATCAGATGGAATGAATGTAGCTTTAATACTTGATTAGTTTAGAGAAAAAGCTAGCTATTAATTCAAATAATTAAGGTATTTCACATCAAAGGAAGGTGCTATATCACCACTGTGTCCTGGTCAAGGGAGTAGGTGGGGTGTAAGGTGGAATAGGAGAGATGGTATAGTGACATAAGATGGTGAAAACAATTTCAAGCCTCAACTCTTTTCTTATATCTTGCTTTAAGTTCTTATAAGAGTACTGTAGATTAAGGATTATTTAAAATAACCAAATTAAGTTTCTAAATATTAGAGTTTACAAAAAATAAAAATAAAAATAAAAACTAATGATTGAATGAAAAATCTATGAATTTTCTCACCACCTTATGATGGCATATTTGATATAATATAATGAAGAGGACAAGACAAAAGTATGACAAAAATTTTAACTTTTTCTTTGTTTACCAGAAAAAAAAAATTGATTATTGAAGTTTTTATTATCATGCAATAATCATGAAGATTTTACGTATCACAATTGATTTAAAAAAAAAAAAGAATTCAATATGGATATATTAAAGGTACACAAATAATTTCTCTTCTTAAACTTGTAAAGGAATTAATTCAATAGTATATAAAAAAAGGTCAAATGGATAGACAGTATCTACATATTTTTCAATAAATATATTTTAGAATTATGCTATATTTTAGAATTATGCTATACGAACAAATGGCATTAACGTGTTTGACAAGTTAAATAAACTTAAAAAGAGTTGGTGGTCTAACTCGTTTACTATTTATGCACCACAGAAAGCAAGGTCATAATTTGTTTGTCACGCTTTCAAAATAAAGCTACTTTGATAGTTGGATTTGGTTAATTAGGTTTGAAACAATAAGAAAATAAAAATTTAATTATAATTAATCCTTCCTAAATCCTAGCTATTTGTTATGGTTAAGCTATAAATTTTCAAGTCATGCAAGTTAATTATCGGACCGTCATGATTCCTATAATACACGTTTCTTTAAAGCATAGTCAACTAAAATGAGATTGATCATGTTATCGGGTCGGGTGCCATTGTCATTGTTGTTTTAGATGTGGCTTTTGCTTTTGCTCATATTATATATATGATTTCATGTTTTTAATATGATTAGACAATCGTATAAAGACTTTTGTACGGTGAATAAAACCTAGTAAACGATCGTAAGAACAAGTTGACAAGCTGTAATTATTAAAATTGTAAAATGTAGTGTAATTGCCCAACAAGCAGTCTGAGGATTGACAGAGAATACGTACAAGGATCTATGGTGGAAGAGAGCTTTAGCGTGAGGAAGGCAAAGCATCCTTTTCATGGCAAGTTTATGGGAACCATGCAACTATCACCTTGAGTTTGAAACTAGATTTGAGGTACTAACATATCATACATATTCTCTATGTTTTATATGTAATTTCAAATCCGTTTTATAGTTATAGATAGAGATTCCAATTAAATATCTCTTTGAATAAAGAATAATGTTATTCATCAAGAGTGATGATGATCATCATCGATCAATCTATGTGACAATGCAAATTGTTCTACTGCCACACAGACTGACGGTGATGACCACTCCATATGAATAGCATTAATCTTTAAAAAATGATGTGCTCATGTTATTTGAATATTGGCAAATTGAAATTGGACACGGTTTTTGTCGAATCAACAATTGTTAGATGATCGTTGCTTGACAAACCTACTCATGGACATTGAACAGTGTTGTTTGTATGCTCTACCCTTTGTGTCACGATTGTGTGGCAACTCATTGTTTGCAACTGTTATCGTTGCATTGCAAATATCATAGTCCAATAGCGCTTCCCAACATAACTAGGTCTGTAGTTAAAAGCAAAACTATAATCAGGATCGGTTTGACATGATTTTTAAAAAGTCAAAAGTTGATTTTGTACCCACTTGACTAATTTTATAAAAGTGTTTCATAGAAGAGTTTCTAGAGTAAACTGATTCAATATAACTTTCTTTGAAAACACTTCCGAAATAGGAAGCTTGTTTAAAAATTAGTTTCCAAACAAGAATTAAGATAACTTTCTCCAAATGCCCTTCTACATGAAGTAAAGTAAAAGCAAAAAGCATGCCAACCGAACCTTTAGTTCCATTAGATAGAACTAGCATTGTCGTTTCAGAAACCCAATGACAACAATTAATTAACTGCAAACAAATTAGAGATTAAAAATCGCTACCATATCCAATGAACATATATCTTCTCCTCATATATATTGAATTTGTCAATCATATCACTAGCTATTTCCTAAAACGTTGTTTTTGTCTCTTTGTACAAAAAACTTCGGGTCTCTAAGGGAGGAGATGGGAACTCTAGCCTAGAGACGGTCCTTAGGTCGAACACAAGTATGAGGAAGGCAAATGAAAGTTGAATATAAAAGAGAAAGGTATTCTTTAACCTCGAAAGTCGAATAAATGACCTATGTATAGAGAAGAAAATATAAAATTGTTCAATTAGATCATAGAACAAGCATGGACATTAGATCGGTACATAATACGATGTACAAGGTCTCATGGTATATTTCACGTCGCTTACTAATTAAAATGTATATTTCTATCTATTTTTACCATAAATTAAGTAGCCTCATATTCCTCTCTAAACTCATAGATAAAATCTCAAATCACGGATTTTTAAAAAATCCATCTTGGGTCAGGAATAGGACCTATCTAATAAATGCACTAACTGAAAGTTAGATAAACTTGTCGAGTAAAAACTT